ATAGTTCTGAGAAATTTTCTTGAATTATTTCATTGATTTCTTCCCCTCCATTCCTCTGTTCTCTCCTTGTGAAACATCTATTATTCAGAACGTTCCTCTAATTTTATCTTTTCTTTCCTATTTTCTATCATTTAAGGTTTGTTTTTTGTGGTTGTTGTGGCTCTCCCTCCTGATCAATTTCCTCAATTTTATCTTCTTTATATTTAATTTTTAATTTCCAAGAACACTACGGACATACATCTTGTTCTCATTTCATGAATGTTACGACTACTCTTATCTTCCAAAAATACTAAGAGATGAGTTGTTATGTTTTGTTTTTGCATTGTCTGTCTCCTCCAAATTGCTTTTATTCTTTTTTGTTTTGATCTCCATCTTTCACATCAGTGGCTGTCCCTTACTAAGCTATTTGTTCATAGTTAGGAATGAGACACTAAAAAGCCGACGCAATGCTCTGTGTGCATGGTGGGGATTGCTGACAATAAGCTTCACAGCAGGATGATCTGACTGGGACCCTTCCCAGGGGAATCACTTATACTGCTATTTTTAGAATTTTTTTTCTCTTGGGCAAGTCAAATTCCTCAAATAAAACTTGTTTGCTCATGTAAGCATTAAATACTTTTGAAATACCATGTATTCACACATCTTTGGTAACATCTTCATAAAATTTTCATCTTAAGTTTCAATAATTACAAAGGACTTAATTTCTAACATATTATTAACTTTAAAAAAATTTTTTTAAATAATTCTAGACTTACAGAAAAGTTGCAAAAATATACAAAGAGTTCCTGTATTCCTTTCACCCAGCTTCCCCTAATGTTAATATCTTTTTGTGTGTGTGTGAGGAAAATCAGCCCTGAGCTAACATCCATGCCAATCCTCCTCTTTTTGCTGAGGAAGACCGGCCCTGAGCTAACATCTATTGCCAGTTCTCCTCCTTTTTTTTTTTTTTTTTCCTTTTTCTCCCCAAAGCCCCAGTAGATAGTTGTATGTCATAGTCACATCCTTATAGTTGCTGTATGTGGGACACTGCCTCAGCATGGCCTGACAAGCGGTGCATCAGTGCACACCTGGGATCCAAACCCGGGCCACCAGTAGCAGAGCGTGCGCACTTAACCACTAAGCCACGGGGCCAGCCCCTAATGTTAATATCTTACACAGCCAAAGTACTAATATCAAAAACAGGAAATCAACAGTGATAAAACACTATTAACTAAACTATAGACCTTACTCAAATTTCACCAGTTTTTCCACTAATGTCCTTTTCTTGTTCCAGAATCCAAACCAGGATTCCAGACTGCATTTGCTATCATGTCTCCTTATACTCTGCTCTTTGATAATTCCTCCATCTTTCCTTGTCTTGCATGATCTTCACACTTTTGGATACCACTGATCAGTTATTTTATAGAATGACCTTCAATTTGGCTTTGTCTAATGTGTTCTCATGATAAAATTGAAGTTATGCATTTTGGGCAAAAATACCACAGAAACGATGCTATGCCTTTCTCAGTACATCACAGACCAGGGGTCCATGATACTCATATGTCTTATTCCTGTGATGTTAACCATGATCTGTTAGTTAACATGGTGTCTGCCAGGATTTTCTATGTTAATTTACTGTCTTTCCTTTTTCAATTAACAAACGATACTGATTAAAGAAAAACAAAAACCATTACATCACTCTTTTAAATGTATCAAATGGACCCTAAAAATTATTATCAATTTGATAACTGTCATCATCCACTGAACAAACTTTACTACTGAACTAACCATTCCCTAAAACTCAAATATTTTACAGTGTTCCTTTTTCTCCCTGGACTTCTATTTCTATTACTATATTTATTCTACAGAATGTTATCCTGATGCAATATGTTTTTATACTTGGATCACATACTTATTGATTATGCAACTGTTCTTCTCTGGGAAAACATATCTGTGTATAAAGATAAATTTTTAAAACTTCTTTTGACCATAAGGTTCTAAGTATCAATCCAAAAGCAATTCTGAACTATCATTATAATTAATATTAGTACATGACTGATCAAAATGCAGGTATATTATACATTTTAAAAAGTAATTATCAGGCAAAAAATAAAATTTTACTGAAAATATATCTCTCAATGAAATAGATACAGCTTACCTTTTTTTTGGTTTCTGAGTCCATGAATGAATATTACTTACTACCAGAATGAGACAAGGTTCAGCAGTAATCCTATTTCTGTCTTTCATCTTTATAGATAAGAGTGCTTAATAACCATAACAGGACCAGAAAATCCTTTGTTACAATGATTTTACTCAATTCTGTGAGCTCCCTTAGAGTTGTGTGCCCGATATCACACAACGAGCTACTGTAAAAAACTATTTTAATAATCCCACATCTACCTAACCCAAAAAACAAACTGTAAGTCCCTCACAGTGATCTCTTTATTTCAGCAAAAAGGAATTTATATAGTTTCTTGAATTTCATTGTACTGTAATAGGATTTTACCTCATAAACAGTCTCTTTTCATGTATCAAGGCTATTTTTACATCCCAACTAATATCCCCATATTCTGATCTGCTATTTAATTAAAAGATCATAAATAGAGGCCGGCCCCATGGCATAGCAGTTAAGTGCGCGCACTCCGCTGCTGACGGCCCGGGTTCGGATCTCGGGCGCACACCGATGCACCGCTTGTCAAGCCATGCTGTGGCGGCGTCCCATATAAAGTAGAGGAAGATGGGCATGGATGTTAGCTCAGGGCCAGTCTTCCTCAG